TAGGATGTATTTCAAGTCTCTCTACTTACTACTTGCCCCCAGAGGTTGTGACAAAGAAAAATGACAGTATCAAATGTACCTCTTTCCACGTTGAGAATCAAAGACATAGCATCAATGTTAGGATGACACAAGACGAGATTGTGTTTCTTTCTGCTGTATATGGGCGGATATGAGTCAGAACTAACTTGATGGCACTGGTGCTATAGTGGTTATGAGCCAGACTAGCACTGGCCACTGTACCGCCACCTTGTTGACCACTGAATGACCTGCCTTCTTCCCCCTCCCATTTTGGAAATTCCCACTAGTGATTCATTTGAGAATGTACTCTTATGTTCTTGTACGTTTTGTTCTGATCTTGCGATCAGAACATTGTAATTACTCATATTGTTCCTTTTGATGTAATCAGGACATTACTATTATTTTACTCACCAGGAGTAAATGCTGTATCCTGTAATGCTAACTCTAAAGCATAATAACATTAATTTTGCTTTCTGCTTTTGTCATAGCTGCTTGCTTTATAGGAAAGTCCACAATAAACGATAAGTGGGTTTTTGGCTTTATGAACTCACTGAAATGTCCACTTGGGATTGTAATCAAAGAGTCACTTTTAGGTTCTTGGCAGTCCGGTTATAACTGAATAAAAGATTCTTCTAAATTTCAAGACATTATAGTGACTGTCATTTATTTGAACCCTCAAGAGTTATGCATTGAGCTGCTAACCAAAAAGCCAGAGTCCAAACCACCAGCTGCTCCCTGGGAGAAAGATGAGGCTGTCTGCTCCTGCAAGAGTTCCAGTGCTGCAAACTCACAGGGGCAGCTCTACTTGTCCTATAGGGTCACTATGAGTTGGAATCAGCTCGATGGCAGTGAGTGAGGGACTGTGGTTTATTTTATTTCATTTTATCACTCCTAAGGAAAGCATCCTACTTGGTACAAAAGACTGCTCTACATGTTTTTAGGTAAACCGATTTTTTAAAAATATGGTGATAAAAGCATAATTGATGCTGAAGACAAAGCGGGTGCATAAGAAAATGTGGGGAAGAAAGTTGATGGTGCCCGGCTATCAAAAGATATAGCATCTGGGGTCCTAAAGGCTTGAAGATAAACAAGCAGTCATCTGGCTGAGAAGCAACAAAGCCCACATGGAAGAAGCACACAAGCCTGTGTGATCACGAGGTGTAGATAGGATCAGGTAGCAGGAATCAAAGACCCAGAACAAAAATCATATCATTGTGAATGAGGGGGAGTGCGGAGTGGAGACCCCAAGCCCATCTGTAGGCAACTGGACATCCCCTTACAGAAGGGTCTCAGGGAGGAGATGAGCCAGTCAGGGTGCAGTATACCATCAATGAAACATACAACTTTCCTCTAGTTCTTTAATGCTTCCTCTGCCCCCACTATCATGATCCCAATTCTACCTTACAAATCCAGCTAGACCAGAGGATGGAAACACAGGGAATCCAAGAAAAATAAACCCCTCAGGACCAATAATTAGAGTGATGATACCAGGAAGGTAAGGGGAGGTGGGTTAGAAGGGGGGAACGGATAAATGTATCTACATATAACCCCCTCCCCTGAGGGATGTACAACAGAAAAGTGGGAAGTGGGTGAAGGGAGACATCTGACAGTGTAAGACATGAAAAAAAAATTATGTTATCAAGGGTTTGTAAGGGAGGGGGGAAAAGGTAGAGCTGATACCAAGGGCTCAAGTAGAAAGCAAATGTTTTGAAAATGATTAGGGCAACAAATGTACAAATGTGCTTGACACAATGGATGGATGAGTGGATTGTGATAAGAGTTGTATGAGCCCCCAATAAAATGATTTTTTTAAAAAAAGAGTAATTGAGTTGATTTTTCAGATGAGGGAGAAGTGATGTTTGCTATTTCTCATTCTGTAATTTTTTACCACTAAATATAAGCAGGACTTTTCTCTTCACCTATATTTTGCCTCCAAAGGGACTGGGAAGTTTATTGAAGGGAGTTTTCAGACACAGTATTAACAGTATTCTGATTGTCACACTCCTTTATCCAGCAGTCTTTATTAATAGGCTCCATAGGAAAGCTTTGGAGGACTTGACACCACATTGGTGAGTTTCTTGCTCTCCACAAGTCTTTGGCATGCTGGCAGATATTTCACAGAATACCCACAGGAGGGCAATTCTTTCATCAATTCAGAGTCTGTTTTCCTGTATGCCTAGTGGGTTAAAGAAAGGATTTATCCATGAGCATCAAGGTGATGGTGCTGTGACTGAGACCTTAGCTTTAACGTCAGTATAATTCTATACCCAAACATAGTATTTAAAGGGTGAGTTACACTCAAAAGTACAATACTGTGCTTCAAGATCAAATGGACCACGTTTGGCCTTTAGGGAAATTCAGTTAATCCTTCTGATCATCTCACATACTCTTCCAATGAAAGGTTTACTAACCAAAATACTTCATAATCTTGGAAAATAAGACTTTGAAAAAATTGATATAAAGCTATTTTCAGTGCCAAGCATATTTGAGCATCATAGTGAATTAAAATGCAAAATATTTGGGTTATTTTTATGTATAGTTATGACCTAACATTTATATGGTTAAATAAAGTACTATGCAGAAGTCAGCATGTTAGTGAGGGGCAAGTATCCTGAAAAATCTTTCAGAAAAAAGAGGAGATATCCTGGAAATTAAAGATGAGACATATGATCATCTTCAAGACTTTGTGAAACAAAGAGGAATAATACATAGTTATCCAGAAGGGCGTGAATTCATCTTCAGAATTATAATACAAACTAAACTGGCTCCAGGCCACTTCAATTTTCTCCAAAGATACAGTAACACAGTCTACATGAAAGATGACATGTTCACTGTTGGTAAATTTCCCAAGCTTCATGATGGTTGACACTGTATAGTGACAGAAAAACAGAACCTTAAGTATAAGAAATATATATATATATACATACATACAAATGTTTTCTCACTTAAAGGTGACAGAGTGAATGTTCTCTCACAAATTATTGTAGGGTTAGTCTATATTCATGTTCTTTCTAAATGGGTCAGTTGAATTGTTCAAGCAGAAATTTGTTCTGGAACACAATGAACAAGATAAGAAAAGGCACTGACGGTGCTTTCAGTTTTGGATGAAGGAGACATACTGTACACAAATAAAGCAATTTTGAAAATGTTAATCAGATTTCAAGAATGTTATTTTAAGAAAGGATAGAAATTAAATTGACTTGAAGCTTTACTGAACTGATCCTATTTTAAAATAAAACGAAAATGTGTGAGAATAAATGGAAATTGTTAGATAACATTTTTTTTGTAAATAGATGTTGCTAAAATCTTAACTTCCTATAGAAGAGGCAGACAGAAACGAACACAATAGTTGTAGTGTGAAAAAAGCTCCAAAGTTGCTTTTCCAGAGGCATTAAAATAGTACTGGGACATGAAAGGCAGGCAATAATACTTCAATTATATTCTACCTTAGCCATCTGTTTACCAGACAACTCTTTCCTAAGGGAACATACAGGGGTTTTCATCAGATTCATGGAACCATGGAATTAAAAGAAAACAGAAATTTCTACAAAGTTTTCTTAGCCCCTTGTGCCCTCAGAGCACTTTTTTGTCTGTTTACATTTATATCATGTGAAGCACATTAAAAGGAAAAAAATAAGCACATTTAAAAGGAAAAAAAAATAACCCTTGTTCCCCAATAACCCACCAAAATAGAAATAGGTCATGGTTCCTCTTTGTTCAAAATCAACAAAATGTAGCATGGAATTATTTCGTGGGCGGAATGTCCTTAAAGGAGCCCTGTGACCGCAGTGGGCTTCGAGTTGGGCGATCAACAGCCAGTCCACGGGGAGAAAGATGCAGCAGTTCCGTTCAGTAAGGAAACCTCCAAGGGTTGCGCTGCGTCCACAGGAGGGCAGTGGGTGTTTGGTTCGGTATGACCTCCTAATTGCATTGATTTGGGTACTTGTAAAATCCTTTGTATGAGAAGTTATGAATTCTGGTATTGACTTCAATGGGATAACCTTTTTTTGAGGGGGCGGGACGGGGCAGGGGGCATCTGAGATGTCTTCAGGAGCAGACTGCTTCTCCGCGGCCTCCGCAGTTATCGCAGGGAGTCACCCGCAAGTCCAGACACTGCCCAGGTTCGAGGTGACTCGGTGGAGAGGGAGACCTGGTGGCGGCGCAGAGGGTTAAGTGTTTGGCTGCGAACTGCAAGATCGGCGGTTGAGCCGCGTAGGAAGAAAGAGGAGGGTGTAAACCAGTGGTTTTCAACCTTCCTAGTGCCGTGAACCTTTAATAATGTTCCTCATGTGGTGGTGACCCCGAACCATATAATGATTTCCGTTGCTACTTCATCACTGTTATTTTGCTACTGTAATGAATCGGGCGACCCCTGTGAAACGGCCGTTCACCCCCCAAAGAGATCGCGACCCTCAGGTTGAGAACCGCTGTAAAGCTCTGTAAGCTTAAACTGTAAACTCACTTAAAAAATTTAGTCTCGAAAAAAAAAAAAAAAAGATTTAGTTCCGGAGACGGCGGAGCAGGTCCATTCTTATTGGATCACCGAGTAGGAATCTATTCGTGGGTTTTTAAACGGCGGAGGGAGGAAAGAAGGGCGGTACAATATCAGTCTTGGCGCTGTGGTCTCTAGATAATTTCAAACCTAAAGCTGTTTTTCAAACTTTGCTATTTGTACCGGCAAATACCGCATTCCAGCGAAAACATTTGTACTATTTGTACCGGCAAATACCTCATTCCAGCTGGCGTACTTTGGCATGGGGGCGGGGAGGCGGGTGGAGTCGCCACGTCAGAAGCCCAACTGCGCCTGCGCGCGCATGCGCAGTCCGCACTCACAAATCCCCCGCCCCCTGTGACGTAGCGTTTTCTTCTTTAGTCGTTCGGCCGCGCAGGACGCTGGCGCGCACTTCTCCCTCAGCTGCCGAGCCGTTACAAGCCCCCCAACCGCCGAGCCGCCGAGCCGTCGGGCCGCCGGGCCGCCGGGCCGCCGGGCCCTCGGAGTCGCGGATCTCAGTGAACTTTAACGCCGCCGAAACCGGGTCCGTAACGTTGGTAATCAGCAGCGGTTCACTTTGGCGAGCGGCGGGAGAACATAGGACTCGGGGAAACTAGTTACCAGCCGGCCTGCTCTGTGCGCTTCTCTTCGGTTCGCTCACCTCCGCTCTAGAGAAGCTGCGTTTATCATCGTCCCTGGATTGTAAGTAACTGAGGCGAAGAGAGTTCCCTGCTCTCCCCCTTCATTTTGAATATCTTTCTTCCGGGAGACTCTGGACTGGGACTGTTTCCTGGGCCTTAACTTTCTGGGCCTGAAACCCTTCCTCAGGAATCGCCATTGCTTTCTCGCCAGCAAGTTCTATCCGCTTTGTTCGGCAGCGGCACCTAGAGGTCGGAACTTGACATTGCATCTGTTGATTAAGTGAAAGTAAACTATTTCAACTGGTATTCACTGACAATCGTATTCAGAATTGAGACAAGAGACGCTTAGCTGCTGTTCTGCCCAGAACACTTTGTAAAATTTCAAAACAGTGGTCTTTCTGACGGTTGCAATAGTTGGACTTTCATAGAGAAACAAGTGCTCATCAGAAAAGTGAGTTACAGAGAAGCAAAGATGAGTAAGAGCAAAGATGATGCTCCTCATGAGCTCGAGAGCCAGTTTATCTTACGCCTGCCACCAGAATATGCTTCCACTGTGAGACGGGCAGTACAGTCTGGCCATGTCAACCTGAAAGACAAACTGTCCATTGAGTTACACCCTGATGGGCGTCATGGCATTGTCAGAGTGGACCGCGTTCCACTGGCCGCAAAATTGGTAGATTTGCCCTGTGTTACTGAAAGCTTGAAAACCATTGATAAGAAAACCTTTTACAAGACAGCTGATATTTGTCAGATGCTTGTAGCCACAGTTGATGGTGATCTCTATCCTCCTGTGGAAGAGCCAGCTGCTGCTGCTGCTGCAGCTGCAGATCCCAAAGCAAGCAAGAAAAAGGATAAGGACAAAGAGAAAAAGTTTATTTGGAACCACGGAATTACTCTGCCTCTGAAAAATGTCCGAAAGAGGAGGTTCCGGAAGACAGCAAAGAAGAAGTATATTGAATCTCCAGATGTGGAAAAGGAAGTTAAGCGGTTGCTGAGTACAGATGCAGAAGCTGTCAGTACTCGTTGGGAAATAATTGCTGAAGATGAAACAAAGGAGACAGAGAATCAAGGCCTTGATATCTCTTCTCCAGGAATGTCTGGGCACAGGCAGGGCCATGACTCACTGGAACATGATGAGCTTCGAGAGATATTCAATGACCTCAGCAGCAGCAGTGAAGATGAAGATGAAACTCAACACCAGGATGAAGAAGATATAAACATCATAGACACCGAGGAAGATCTGGAGAGACAGCTACGGGACAAGCTAAATGAATCTGATGAGCAGCACCAAGAAAGTGAAGGAACCAATCAGTTGGTTATGGGAATTCAAAAACAAATTGATAGCATGAAAGGCAAGCTCCAAGAGACCCAGGACAGGGCCAAACGACAGGAGGATCTCATCATGAAAGTTGAGAACCTGGCCCTCAAGAACAGATTTCAGGCTGTGCTGGATGAGCTCAAGCAAAAGGAAGACCGTGAAAAAGAGCAGCTCAGCTCTCTGCAAGAAGAGCTGGAGTCACTCCTAGAGAAGTAAGAAGAACCTTCTTTAAGCTGCAGACAAGCCAGTATAAGAAAAGCCTTTGATTGGCTACTTATTTAGTTCCTGTTCTCTCTACTCTCTTTGAATCTATCACATTTTATACTACTTGCCTTGGTTTTAGGGTTTTTTTTCCCTTTTTTTTTTTTAGGATTTTATAGATAGAAAAATTAGGAAGTCCATAGTTAGTGGAATGAATGGTTCAGCCTTAGGGTTTTTTTTCCCTTGTTTTTTTTTTTTTAGGATTTTATAGATAGAAAAATTAGGAAGTCCATAGTTAGTGGAATGAATGGTTCAGCCTTGTTTACAGCTTCACTGCAGGACTTTGCTTTTTTTGCCATTTGCCAGAAGCTATTGATGCTACATTGTGTTAACTGAGCTCACGAGCCTACCCTAGAGGCAATGAAGCTAGCTTGCAATTTTTTTTTTCTATGCAAGTTCCCCACCCCCACCCCCCAGCTATTCAAAGCAGTTATTTTCGCATTTGAAGCAGCAAATCATTCTTTAAAGTTTCTAACAATCAATAAAAGCAAATTTTTACTGCATAATGTGCCTTATTTTTTCATGGGTAGTGGGGAGTCATAATTGAGATTCTGTCAGTACTCTGGAAAATAATTGCTAAAGGTAAAACGGATTCAATGACTGAACAATTTGATATGCTCTTCTTTTGCAGCTAAAAAAGTCTGAACAAACATGGGTAAACAAATTGGGTAATGTCATTTTTATATTGTGTGAAATTTCCAGTCTTGTTCTAGTTGGAGATAAGGAAACACTAGGGATAGACCTAACTAAACTTCCTTAATTTTTTTAGATGAAAGTCCATTTGTACTTAAAAAAAAAAATACTAAACACAAAGTCCTCTGCTTATAAAATATTTTAAAATATACCATTAGTTATCAAGTGCAGGTCAGTACGTCCATTGGTTTGAATTAAAAGATTCTATATTTCCCATTTAATTTCTGTAGCTATTTAATCTGAGGTGATTTGCCTATGTTAACATAGTATTCATAGTCTGATATTTAAAAATTCTAGAACGTAATAGTTTAATAGACTTAAACTTTCCATATTCTAAATGTAACTGCTGCAAATGAGCAATTTCTGAAAATCAGTTGATAAAATTTATAAAATGCAGAGTTGAATGTAACTCATTTCTGACAGATGTCTATGAAATAGAGCTATCGTTTCAGAATATCATTAACCCAATGAATCAGCATTTAAAACCCACTTTAATTTTGTACTTAGTAGTAAATATCATTGTTGATTTAAAATAAAATACAATTACTCAGACCTTAGTCTATAATCATATATTTGGAGACAGCTTGCCAGAATATTTTTACAATTCTAAGCTTTTAAGGCAATGTGGTGATTTAAACATGTTTTCCCTCATCATAGCTTTGGACTATTTCTTGAAGTTTGCAAGTAATAAGTTTTCTTAACCCATGGGATGGTAGGCAATCAATTCTGTGTTAATATATCTAGATAATTTATTACATTTACAGGTTGACACTTGTAAAATGGTAGAGTCAGAAGCATTCTGATTTCAGAGGGCATAATGACCAGGATGAGAAGCCCTGGTGGTATAAGGGTTGCACTGACCACAATATCAGCTATTTGAAACCAGCAGCCGCTCTCAGAGAAAGGCTCTCTACTCCCATGGAAAGTGACCATCTTGGAACGCTATGAGTCGGATTGGAGTTGACGATGTCAGTGAGGTTAGTTCGGAATGACCAGTATCAATCCAAAGCTAATTCCTTTCACATGGTCAGGCATCCCCTCATTCTCCCACCCTTGACAGTTGCTGTCCCACCCCGATACTTGATAATCTGCTGGGTTTAATTTGTTGTAATGCCTCCATAGAGTTCAGACCATGGTTAATTAGTTCCATGGTTTAGTAAGGACACCTCAGGATCACAGACTACAAGATCAGAATCAGGAAGCATGTAGGCGAAATAGATTTTCCCCAAAGGAGAGGAGAGCGCTACCTTTGGTGCAGGACAGCTCTCAACTTCAAAGACCTGTAAGCCAGCAGGCTCTTCTCAGGACCCCCTCCCCCACAATCCCACAAGGAAAAATTCTTGGCCCCCTCATGACATCACTTGGCCTCCTTTCCCAACTCTGACACAGAACTCCTTACAGGCTGGTTGCTGTTATTTTTGCCACAGGTCCTTCCTGGGCCCCTTCTGGATCTGTCACCATCAGTTTTGCTGCAGGGCAGTTGTTGCTGGTAGTTGTGCCACAGGACCTCTTGTGGGCCTGTCACCACCAAGCACTGCAAGGCCCCTTCTGGGCCTTTCACTACCAGTTTTGCTGCAGGGCTCCTGCCTGTTGCTGTTATGCCATAGGGACCCTTCTGGGCCTCTCATTGTCTTCAATGTTGCAGTCCTTGGCCCATGTTACAACTTTTGTAAGAGGTACAAAATCCTTCTCTCTATTGCCTCTCTTTCTGCCCATCTGTATGGGGTTGACTGCATATATAAGCAAGCTCATTTTCAAAGCATGGTCCTGTACTAGGGCTTTTAGCTAACCCTTTTGTGGAACCCACATACGCTTAGTTTGCAGAGTAGGCCATCGTCGTCTAATTTGCATGAGTTTGCTGGTCAATCCCTGCAGGTGCATACAAATCCTGGGCAGACCAAGCCAGGGCTGGGCCAGGCAAAAAATATCAAACCATCAGTTGTTTATAGCTTACCCAAGAAATGCCAACTAACCTGGATGTGTTAGGCCGGGTTGACTAGAAAAGCAAATCCAGTGACACTCGTGTGTATAAGAAAGAGCTTTACAAAAAAAAGAGAAAGCTTTACATCAAGAATGTGTCCTAGTCCAGTCCAACTCTAGTCCGTAAGTCTGATCCTAGTCCATAAGTCCCTCTTCAGAGTCACGCAGCCATGTGACCATGCAGCAAGTTCACAGGGCGGTGGGTGCAGAATCATGTGACTCCAAGGTAGGTGGAAACAGCAAGGCACTGGCAGCTCTCAGAGTGACCACCAGTGTCCCAGCAAGCAGGAAGGTGGAGTGGCAGAAGGAAGGAGTTTCCCAGGGTCCTTATGGGAGAGTCGCACTCCCAAGGAGGCACCTTTGGGATTGACAGGTTGGATTCCACCCCTACATTTTCATACATCTTCAAGTTGACATAAAATCATAACTACGCCACTGGACAAAAGTAATAAATGTCCTGGGGGCAGAAAACTAGGGCAATAGGGCTTAGTGGGAAAAGTATCTGAAGCTGTTATTTCAAAGAACCAAGGCCAAAGGCCACATGAAGAAGCTCATTTCCCCACAACATCTGAAAAGCTTCCACCATATTTGACTTTAAGTGGATCACTTAACAAAACAATTTTTATGTATTATATATTTTCAGTTTTTCACCATCCAATTTAGCTTTTTTACTCTATTAAATGATGTGGGGGCAGCATCTGATTTCTAATTTCATCAGCTTTAGGCCAATTCATATGAGGTAGATGTCAGGCCAATTTGACACCCATCATCCCTTCCAAGGTATTCTCACTTCTCTGTTTGCTTTGGTAATTTATTGCAATAGCCACAAACATTTTACAGACAGTATTCAGGATTATGGGATTGTGGCAGATTTTATGTCAGCTTGACCCTTGTGAATATGTAGGCTTGGAATCTAACTTATCAATCAGGCCACAGCTTGATAGCTTCTTTGAAATGTGACCTTCTCCAAAAGAAAGAGTGTGAAAACATCTCTTTCTGGTTTTTCACCTTCCTCCTGGCTGAGACTGTCTGCTTCCAGGGGTGGCCACTCCAACCTTGGGAGGTCTCACCCTGCCATCTTGCCATTGATGTTGGATCCACATGACTGCATCCACTGGCCTGAAGCTCTTTGAGTCTGAAGA